AAGGACAAAGTATTCCCATTTCTCATATACAGAATTTCGCTCAGTTAAATTATAGTGGAGAGAGTGAATGACAGATATCACAAGGAAAATAATATTCTTCTTATACTTGAACATTACATTGAACGAGTACATGGTGTTCGTAAAAATTTTTTCTCACCGGGTGAGGAGAAAAATTAAATGTAGAAAAAGGTGGTGATTCGTGTATAAAAAAGAATTTAGATCGAGTGAGAAAATACATTATCTGTATATATAGTGACATTTTCAAAATTTTTAAAGCTTGTTTTAATACACGTTATTTTGATTTTATCTAAACTGTGTTGTTTATATATGGAGTGTAAAACTCATAATTCGTTCATTTTTTAAATCAAATAATATTAAGAGAGGATAATAATCACAATTTACAATTTACAATTTACAACTCACAAGTCGCAAGTAAAGAAGGAATAGAAAAAGAATCAAAAATCAATACAATAAACATACGCGCATGTGAAATTAAAAAAATCTAAATTGCGCATGTATAGGTGTATAATAATACTGGTATATCAGTTAAAAGATCGCAGGCAATGCTATGTATGTACATAATAAGTAAATTGGTGGAACATCTAATAAGTGAGTATGTATGTACGATTGGAATATAGTTTTCTTTTATTGTTATTTTTTGGTATGCGCGTTCACATGGCTCTATCAAATGACAGCCGGTAAAGTTTTTTTTTTTTTATGATTTAATACAGTGTAAATTTTAGTTTCCTCATGTGTTGGCACAGAGTTTTTTAATTATATGTATTTTTATTTAAAAATTTTTATTATGTAGAGTGAAGGTTATCGTTGTTAAAAATTTTATAATAAAAGTGTTGAATTCTAACTTAATGGAAATTTCTTCATGCAACTGCAGAACAGATGGATGACGTAATCAAAGGAACGAGTTAAAGGCAGAAAAATTAATTAAAAAATTTTTCTCCTCGAACTGGACTCGAACCAGTGACTTACCGCTTTCTAGGCGGACGCTCTACTATTCTGATTAATAGAATAGTAGTAATATTAGAAACCGGTTCTACTACTCGTATTAACCGGTGTGAATCGTAAAATTTCTTTTATTGGTTATATATACAAATACTGTAAGCAGTATCAAAACTAAATGGTCTTATTACGTAGACGGGAGCCACATTTCTTAAAAGTGCACTAATTTCACTAGTTTAATGATAATTAAATATTTTATGTAGTATGTAGGTATTCTTTTTCAAAATGATATTTTCCCTAATACAATAAAAAATTATTGTATTTGTGTCATAATCTTTATCGCGGACCACAAAACTCACATGACATTACAAAAAAAAAATTTTTTTTTCTGACTCAATTTCTGTTGTATAGGAAATCGATTTTATTTAATCTTTATTGTATTTTAATTGTACATACGTACATACATGAGTAATAAGTTCAGTGTTGATGCTGATCATATTTTTATGCTCCATCTGCCTTTTATTCACTTGCAATCTGCATGACATTAAAAAACAAAGTCAAAAAATAAAAACTCAAAAAATGATAAAAAAAAATCCACCAGACGACGTGTGACTGCGTATGCTGGTAGTTTTTTTTTTCAAACTTTTTTTTATTTACACACATGCATACATATACTATTAAAAATATTGTGTATTGCAGTATGAGTAAACATTTTGCAGGATGTCAGGTAAAGCAGCTGATGGATTTATTTTGTTTTTAATAATGTAGTTATTGTTTTTTTTTTTCAAAAATTGTGTGGTTTTCTTATTCTACTGTAATGCGGCATTCGTGTTTGTTGTGTGTTTATTAAGGCGTAATATTATATCAGAATTTCTAAATGAAATTGTGGTAAGGTGATTTTTTCATTATGCGAATATACATAAGTACATAGGTTTTTGATTAGTCACAGCAAAAATCATAATTACTTTTGCATGGATATACATACTTACATATGTATGCTCGTACATAGATATGTACAAGTATAACAGTTTAATCTAGTTGCTACCATTTTCTTCTCTGATGGTAATTTGAAAGATGTTCCATTTGAATTACAATTACGCAGGAACATACTTCTAACGCTATGTAAATAAATATTTTTTAAAATAGCTTTTCTAAAGTTATTCTTCAATAATAATTAGTATAGTATAAGAGTGTAAGTCATAACAGCAAAATTGCTTCTAAAACTTCACTAAAAAACAAAAAACAAAAGTGCTCACTAATACTTTAACATTTTTTCCCCTACTTATAAGAATGGCACACTTTTATTTAATTGCATTAAAATTTTTTCTTTTTTTTTTTTTTGGAAAATTTATTTTTGATGGTTTTGAGAGGGGTGACAAGAAAAAAAATGAGACAATATATTTTGTAAACATTCTATGATGAGCAAATCACCCTTTAAACACTTAAAATTATTGTCAATTTATTTTATATTTGTAAGGTCAAATTTATAATATAAGCAAAAATGGAGTTTTGAAAAGAATCAAACTCTAAATGTCAAGCAAACATCCAACTGCTGCTTCCCTTGCATCCAGTGAGTTTTCAATAAGCCCATTCCCGGTTGTTATGCATGCTACAACTTGTGGAAGCGGCTGCGATTTCTGAAATTTCGATGCTTAATAATTTGAGAAATACGAGTAGGACGAAAAAAGAAAGAATGTCACTTAGTGTTTTTTTTATTAGCCTGAACAGATTGTATTATCCTACTTTGGGAGTACCATCGTGTCGCGCACATCCTGTATAATGTTTTATATACTATTATGTTATGCAGTCGAAAATATTTCATAATTTAATTTTTCACTCTCATTTTAAATTTTTTTATTAGTAATGAACGCGCTATGAATGTTAAACAAAATATTTGAATGTCAAAATATTCAAAAATGTTATTTGTTGTTTTAATCAAAGATTTTAGTTTTTTAATTTAATTAATTAATTTGAAAAATTTTAAAATTCAATAAACGTGTATTAAATTGTATTTTAAATGAATATAACTATGTATGTATGGTGTGAATTTTAATAAAAATTATAAGTGCATATGAAAAAGTAAGAAGTGAAAATTATTTTAAAACCTTCACAATAATTACAAATTTTAAGAAAAAATTTAAAAATTAATAAATTTTCTAAGGCTCTTTTGAATTTCAATTCAATGTGAACAATATTAGTGATTTAGTAATTAATAGTATTAACAGTAGTAGTGATTTTAGTAATTTTATGGCAACAGTTCATTTTATGGCACAGTTCTGTTTAGTTTCAACTACTCATGACTAGTTTGAACTTGTGAAAGTATAGCAAAAATAATGATATATCGAATTTTGGTCACAACTATTCATAAACTATTCACAATTTTTAACTAAATCACTCATATAGTTCACAATTGATTATACCTAAGTGTCTAAATTATTCTTACAACAAGTATGTATGTACATATACACGTACTTTTGTAAATATTTAAATACTTGTTATCAAATGACCTGTTTGTTGTTTCAAATTTCGAATACTTGTGGACACATACATAATATATATATATATACACATATACCTACATGTAAATTATGTGTATAAAGTTATTTATAAAAAATATAACAGTAATTTATTGATTTTCTTAAAAACTAAGTTTATCTTTTCTACTTCTTTCCTTACATTCTTCACAAAAAAAAAAGTCAACAACACTTTTTACGGTCTTTAATATTTTATTAGATTTTGAAAGGCTTTTTGAATTTGCTTTTTAAAGGGTCTTATAAGGTTGTTTTTTTTTCCAATTCCATATTCCTGATCCCATTTTTCTTAAACAGTCAAAATTTTTTATTAAATGTCAAATAAAATAAAATATTTTTCGGGACTACATGACGTATTTATACATATGTATATGTGTATAGCACATACTTATACGCTTGATTAAAGGCCACTATATACAATATTTAGCACATACTTATGTTTTTTGAATTTTCAATTTATAATACATTAAATATGAATAAAGTGAGATTGCAAAGTTATAGACCAATTTATGTTTAAGCAAAATCAAATTGTTAGTGAATCAAATGTTATTGGACTCGAAAAGAAAATTGTATGTTAAGAAAAATAATATGCCTTAAGATAGTAAGCTCCTATACAGTTCAAAAAATTTTTTTGGGTAAATCTGTTGTGTATAGCCTTCATCTTTACTTTTCGAATTATGAATTTGTACTGTCGCCAAATATATCAAAATGGGAAAGGCCGTAAAAGAGCTAGCTGCGAATTGTCTTCTTAGACTGTAACTTTACCTTTTTCATATCTAAAGTATTTTATTAATTTTGAATGGACTGCCTCTATAATTATATTCTTATTGTTTAAACCCAAATATAAACATACACCCCTTTGATATGTATATATTCTACTGATGGCAGTTGTCGTAGGTTAGATTAGGTTAGGTTAGGCTAATGCGACCCTCCGAAATATAGACTACTTGGGCCCCTTGTGGTGCCGCCAAAACTGCTTTTCCACTCCCCATTCGAACAATCATTCCTCACCCCATTTGATTCCTAACATTTACATCCGCTAAGTCCGCAGTACAACGGAAGAAATTAGACTCAAGAAATTTGTGCCTAGAGTCCGCCATCACCGGACATGAACGCAGGAGGTGGGTCAGCGTTTCCTCCTCCCCCTAATTAGAACGGCTTTTTACAGGGATCGTTTGCTAGGTGGCTCATCCTTCTCGCATGTTCCCCAATGAAACAATGACCGGTCAGAACCCTTGTCACAGCACGATATCAGGTCTCTTGTTTGACGTAAGTCTAGTTTTGGTCGCGTTACACATTGTTCCATTTGCCCATCTGAGATTGGTAAGCTCCATTGCCGCCTTGGGTAGCAGCAGCCTATGAATGCTTAGACTCACGTAAAAATCTAAGAGTTGTTCCATGTCTCGCAAGCTTGTCTGCCTTACGATTCCCCAATTCCCCGGAACTCCACTGTGTTAAGGGCCAGTTGTTTTATGTTTGGTAGAATTTAGACTAAAAAAACTTGTGCGCTATTTTGTATTTTAATACTTTAAAGTTAATTTATTGACAAAAAAAAAATTCTGCTTTTAAATAATATAAATGATATAAAAAAAATTATCAATTATTCACAATTAGAATTATACGAGAAACTTTCCTACACAAAATATATATAGATCCGATTGAATAATTTTTCTACAATTTAACTTTATTTTCTATCCATGTTAGATATGAATTGACTTTTGTATATACACCTGGAAAACCTGGTACTGCACATTCAAAACCAAAAGAAACTACTCCAATTAAATAATAATAGTAAACAATTTTAACTGGATCCAACTAAAAAAAAATAAAAATTATAATCAATTTTATAATTAAAAAAAAAAAAAACAAAAATTCCATATACTTGTGGTAACATTAAAGGACCTCCAGAATCACCTTGGCATGAGTCAATTTGGTTCCCTCCAGCACATATAATCTTAAACAGAAATTTAATTGATGGAAAAAATATATTATTTATTTTTATAAAAGGTAAGCGTTATTTTAAGTACTATACTTTTTGGATCGGATTTAGCCATGATGAATCGTGCGCAAGACCTTAAAATCGATCATTTTTGAATGATTTTATTATATTGTTTGAAGTCATAGAGCATTTCGTAAGAAAACAAGGGTATGATCCTTAGTTATTTTTACACTCCCCATTAAAATTTTTGGGAATTCTTAAATTCTAACTTGGCTGCCAATTTTAACTTGCTTTTATAGAATTTCTTATAATTTTCATTGTATGAATTCAAAAATATAATAACGTACCATGCGGATTTCTCATTAAACTAAAGTGATATTTTGATCTGCACATTATCATGGCCAGATTTTATTCTAAGCGCGAATTATTCAAAAATCGGGCTGAGCTAAGTAATTCAACTAAGCGCTAAATCTTTTGGATGAGCTTTTGTCATTACATAAATTTTCGTTAAATGCCAATAACAAAAACTAATGCACAAGAGAAGTTCTAAGGATTTCGAGATCTATTTTTACTGCGGCCATTTTACCTTTTATAGCATAAATTATATTACGTTAAAAAAATTATTTTTACCTTATCATCAAAATTAATTGCAATAAATTTTGTTGAATAATTTTTTTTACATTCTGCTAAGGAAACAATTTGAATTTGTGCCTCTCGAAGTATATTTGTTGTGGTACCTCTAAATTTTTGAGCACCCCAGCCAGCAATGAAAGGATTCATTCCAACTAAATCTTTTGTTAAACCATAAGGTAAACAAATAGGCATTATATGATCTAAAAAATATGTCAAATTTTTTGATATCATAACGTTATTTTGAGTAATTGTCCGAATTTTTGAAACATACCAGCAATATCTATATCTTTTTCTAGTCTTAATAAACCAATATCATTTGCATTACTATTAATATTATATTGTTCATGTTGAAATTTTTTCAATATTTTAATATCAATTGAATTCGGTTCTTTTCCTGATATATTATTAGTTCCTAAACGAGCAAATGCTAAATCATTATTAACACAATGTGCGGCAGTTAAAACATGTCGAGTAGTTATTAAACTTCCACCGCATAAGAATTCAGCAGGATCATTTTTACTTATTATATATCCAAGAGCAGCTATCCATGGATATGATCCTATAATTGTTAATTAAATTCAAGTAAAATAACATTTTATTTGTTAATTTTAATTTACCTTTTTTAACTTCATTGCCGCCTACAATTCTCGTTTGTGGTAAAGTATTCATACCGCATTGTCCAAGTGAACTTTTTGGAATTACTCCTGGTTGTAATTTAATATTAATCGGTTGTAAAATTGGTTTTGCAGTATTTGATGTTAGTGGTCCATTGCCAATAATTGTTAATGGCACTATCAATGATTCATCATAAACTTCTAAAATTTTACGAAATTCTTAATTGTAGAAAATTATTTTCTAAATCATTTGAAAATATAATTTATTTAACCTGATATACTATTATAATTTAATGCTGAAAAGCTAAAAATAGAAACTCCAGGTTGATTTAATGAAACTACTTTTGGTTGTTGAGATGGTGCTGATTGACTTAAAATTTGTAAAGTATCTGGTATTTTTGGAATCATACGATTTGGACAACATATCTGTAGTTAATAATAGAAAAAATATTATAATTTTTATCTTAAAACTGCTAAACAATATTAAAATGTACTTTGAATTTCAATAATTTAAAGTACTTCAATGGGGTATCATAATTTTAAAGTACTATCATCAATTACTCCAAAAAAATCATTTGCCTCTATACAAATTTTATAATATAATTGCAATTAATTTTTGGAACAAGTGATGGTATACCTGTTAAACTTACTTTCATTGCATCTACACTGATTTCACATGTTATAGTCCGTAAAAAAGCGTCAAATGTTATTGGCGTAGTTTGAAGTTTATAAAAATATTCTTCAATTAAATTTGGACAGTTTTCAACTGATGTACATTGTCCTTGACGCTTAGCTGATGTTAAGCAACTATCCGCTAAAATTAATTATAATTGTAAAAGTAAACCTTAAGTGTACTATATACATAAACACACCTAAAATATATAATATACATGTGTACATTTTGTTTTACATCTGTATGTATGTAAAATAGAAATCACATATTTGAGAATTGAGAATTTATTTCAACTTAAATTTAAACTTAAAACCCCAAAAATATCAATTTAAAATAAGCTATTTGTTCATATTACATTTCAACCCTATTATCATCTTGCATATTACACACAAATTCCTTTTGCATAACCCTTGATAATTCTTTATTCCGATATTTGCTTATTTTAATATGTTCATGTGCCTTGTCGTATATGTATGTATGTGTTTTAATAAATTGTGTGAAAAATGTTGATAATTTTATTAATTTATATGAATTTATATGTGAATGTTTTAAATCGACTTTTAATTCTATGAACACGAAGTGGAAGCCTTTGACTTCTTGGATCAATACAAGGACATGGAGGATTTGGAGAAACGCCACCAGGTAGACAAAGTGATGGTACGGGTGGGCAAGCTGGTGTTGTAGAAGTTGTTGTTGTTGTTGTTGTCGATGTTGATGTTGAAGTACTTGTTGTTGTTATTGTTGTATTTGGTGGAAGTGTTGGCTGAAAAGTAGGTATTGTTGTAGGAGTTGTTGGTCTAGAATTTGTTGTTGTTGTTCTTGTAATATTTACAGTACTTGAAGTAGTCACAGTTGTAGAAACAGTTGATGTTGGAAGTGTTATTATTGGAAAAATTGTTTGAGGAAAAAAATTTTTACAATATCCTTTTATATTTGCCAAATGAGTAAGTAATGGCCATAAAAATATTTTAAAACACAATTCATCTATTAACATTTGATATGATTTTTAAATCACTAAAAATATTAAAATATGAAATGATTTTATGTCTACACGTTAACGATTATAAAACGGTACTAAAAATAATAATCATTATTGAAAAATTGGGCCTAATTAATATTTGTGGTTATGAATAAAAAGTGAATAAATTTAACCCTCTTTTTTGTGCTCGTAAAGCATATTTAGAACTTTTTACTAACACTACATAGTTATAAATGTGCATAAAAAGCGTAAAGGGCATGGTTATCGTTGTATAAAATACGATAAAAAAAAATAATAAATTACGTTATTGCGGTTTTTATAATGCGTTACTTTAATTCTCTAAGCAAATTCCGTTTGACAATATTTACATCATAAATACATCCGCTCATTAAGGTTTTATTGAGTTAAAAAAAAAAACCCAAATACACAAAATAACAAAAAGTTTGGAAAATAAAAAAAAAGCATTTTAATTTTACTAATTAAAATAGGGAAATTTCAAAAATTCAATTTAACATTGTATGAATTTTGATTTTTTAATTTATGTTCATTAATTTTTTTTTCTTACAATATTATAAAGGGAAATTAACCCATTTCTTTTCACAATATTGATTTATGACCTAGATTTTTAACAGTGCTTTGTAAACTTCATTATCAAGTACTGTGCAAGTACTTTATAAGAGTACGTAACGACTCATTCGGTTAAAAATAGGAGATTTCTTTAAGGTATGCTAATAAAGTTCCGGGACTTCATGGTACGTATAACAATTTAATATCTTTTCCTGTTTCTATCCCCACATCTCTTTCTCTTACCCTTACTTTTCCCTTTCCCACTCTTTCTCTCCGTCTTTTCCTTTTGCCTTCCGTACTTTTCATTTACTCATTTTCTTTTCGTTTACCCTTTTCCTCTCTATTTTTCTTTCTCCTTCTCCATCAATCGTTCTTCCTTTTTCCCTAACTTTAATCTCCTTTTCTCTCTCCTTCTTCATCTACCTCTTACCCTAACCATCTCTACCATTCATCTTCCTCTCCCTACATCTCTCTCTCTCTTCAAATTCCATCAACATATGTTAAAAATTCTAAAAATGAATTTCAAACGCCGTTTATCGGACCTTATAATAAACAAAGAATAATTAGGATAAAATAGTGTTAAAATATTGTATTGCCACTGAGAACTGTCATGTATACAACATTTGGGTCAGATTGTACATTTAGAAGTGACCGAATAAGTTAAGGAAAACGGAATAAATTAATTTTCCATTAAAATAAATTAAATAGTAAAGATTGAAAATTTCTGATAAATTACATTTACAATAAACTTTACTCTTAGAAAAAAAAAAAATTCTTCATTTATATAAAAAATTAATGTTAAATGATTGAGTATAATTACTTTTAACCCATACGTGTCAGTACGACATGCGTAGAACAACATTTTATATTTTTTTTATATAAAATTTAAGTCATATTATGAAATACAGACTTGGACTAATCTTATTCAATATTTAAACCTCACAGGGTACTATTGTGTACTATGTATATGGATTCTAAATGGTCCATTGGTTTTTTCTGCCTTTTCGAGGATTATTTATTTTAATATGCGTGAAGAACTAAGTTTTTGCAGCTTAATTATTAATATTACATTCCAAGGCGGTGTGTAGTTAAATATGTTTCCTCTTTTAACAAGTTGATGGTACTATTTCTGGAAATATATCCCTTCGGTATATCGTAACTTTAGGGTTAAATAAATTAATATTAAACATACTTTAACAGTGTGTTAACGGTGTACATATGAGTATGTTTAAAGCTATTTATTTTAAAACTTTTCGCTAAATTGTTTAATATAAACTCAAATACTTAGTTACAAATATATGTACATATATATACATATACATATTTGTAATACATCTAACGAAAACTTTACTATTAAAATTAAAAACAAAATTACTGGCGTTTTTTTTTTGTATGTTTGTGAAATTTCGCTTCGTTTGAATAAACAAGAACTTGACATAAATTTTTAACTTACATTGCGAGAGTGTTCCCAGTATTAAATAATTATTTATTAAAAACATAATAATATATGAAATTTTTTTATAATACATTGTGATTCATGTATGTATATATAGAATATAACAAAAAACAAATTTCGCTTTAATAATAACAAACAAGAACAATAGAGAGCTAGCAACTTACGGAAGCTGGAGAAATACTAAATATTTATCTCTGAAAATTATCACTAAAGGTTATACTCGTATAATGGTCATCAACTTGTAATTTTTAAATTATAGATGATTAAATGATTTAAACATACATATAGCTACATACTCTATTTATATATGAATTTTATCGAATAATAATAAAAATATTATATAAAAGTTTTTGATTTTAGTATGTATACCTGTGTAAGGTAAATGTACAAACAGTGGGAAAGTTTTAAAATTTTTCAAATCGTAGAATAGTTTGACATCCCGGTATAGGTTAATTGACACTATATTTTTCTCTTTTTTGATATTTGTTTCGCATTGAAACACTGAAATATGTCTGACTCACAACTCACGATCTCGAACATTAAATTATTATTAACACCTTCAAAACGGTGTGATTATAAGCTTCGACAAATATAGGTGCAATCTGCTTTAATTTCTGTGATAAGTTGTTTTTACCTTGTTTTTGGGTATATGTAGAACAATTGGATAAACAAATTATGCGCAGTATGTTGTTGATCAACTTGTACCACGCTTGGCATTGTTCAACGTACCCTGTGAACAGATCGCAACATTCTAAACTAATATTGTGAAAATTTATTTAACCATATGTGTAATATTTTCGGGACAAAAAAAGTCGGCCACTTTTCGCACTATTTATCCTATATAATTTGTTCCCTATTATGTTGTTTTGACATCTTTAAATATATTTAAAAAAAAAAAATATTAATTCTGATATTCATTTTATAAACATATTTAATTGATAACTTAAAATAATTTATTATATTTAAAGTACACACATACGTATGTAGGTGTATACACTTTGTTTAATATTATAATTACTTTGTTAACAAGTTGCCGCCTGTCTCTTTTGACAAAATATTTATCAATATTTGTGATTCTGTATCGACACTTTGCCTATTCCAACAAAACTTATAAGAGCGATTTATGTGAAATAAATATTTTTTAAAAGTGATATAAGGAAACCTAAAATGCTACTTAAAGCTGTATTAGCTTAACAAAGAGAACAAATAATCATATATCTCCTAACTAATGGAGATCATTAAATGTAAAATAAATACTGACTATCGAAGTAGAAATTTGTCTCCATACTCAGTCTTGGTTCTTAAACAAGTTGCTCTCTATGATGAGACAGGAGTTATTGCCGTTGTAAATTATCTTGTGTAAATATTCATTTTAAGTATTTGGGGAGTTCTTATAGCTTTATAATAACTAATTGAAAAGCTTTAATTATATTTCAGTTTGAAGGCGACTAATGTGAAAAGATATTAAGAAAAATTATAATGTCAATTTGGTAATAACTTGGAAAGAGCTTTATTATACTCGAAAGATCGAATATTTGAAGGGTAATATAAATTAATATAAATTTGTCACTCCATTTATAACACTGAGAAATAGATGTCTGAATTATAGTAAAGGCTTTTGATCACCAACGATTTCGAAATCGATTAAGCTATGGTCGTCCGCCTGTCCATTAGACTCGAAAAGTCATTGAGGTAAACTAAACCAATTTCCACTTTTTTTTTTTTTTTTTCCTTTGTTCACTCCTAGAAGGAGCATAGGGCTAGTGCATGATTTCTCATGCACTAGTTTCATAGCGTCATAGGGTTTAACTAGGTAGGTGACTAGCCTGCCGTAGTTTTTATTTATATATTAATTATTTGAGGTTATTAATATTTACTATTTATTTTTCTTAGTTTTTTTTAATATCGAATATTAGGAATATTTGAAAATTACTTGTACGAGTATAATATTTTTATTAGTATTGTATATTAAGTTATAATAATATTGAATATAATTTTTATAGTGACCTGACCGGGGTTTGAACCCGAGACCCTTCGGTTAAAGGACCGGTGCCATAACCACTGCACCAATGGTCAGATAAACCAATTTCCACTAATTACTAAAATTTGTTACAAGAATCATATTTAATTTGAGTTTAATAAAAGCACATCTCAGAAACTATAAAGTCTGAAATATTTGAAATTTTTCTAAACGAATATTGCAGAAGCATCACTATTTCAATAAAATTTAATTGGTCGTTGTATAAGTTCTTATATAATAAATGCCATTCAAATTTAAAAAAAAATATACTTTTAAAATTACAATATGCACGCAAATCAAGAACGACTTGGTGTATAGGAACTTTCTATAACATTTTATTATTGAAACTATAAGGGCCATAGAGTTGACACGATCAACTATTATTTTCAAAACTATTTTCTCTTTCTCGTCTCTTTTAATATTTTGTAAATAGAAAAAAAAAAATTGAGAGCCAATTAACATATTATTTTAAATAGAACAAATATTTAAATCAAAGTATATCTACTAACAAGTAGTTCGACTCTCCGTTTACATCACACTAATGCAATCACTCACCAATATTTGTATACAAAAAATTCCCTTAGTTAAAAGAGTTAAGCAGTATACCTTCTTATTTTCATTTTTATACACATAAGAATTTTTGGGAGAGGAAAAGAGTACGCAATAGATGTCAACCTGTTTTTTTATAATGTAATTTTGAAAGGCGACACTTTATTATTTGTTCCTATATAAAGTATAGGGAAAAATATTAAGAATTTTAAAAGCGATACAATAATTTCCGTAATTCATTCCAGTACAAGGTGGCAAAAAATGTGTATTCATATTATAAAAGCGAAGCGGAGAAAAAGTGTTTAAAAAAATTATTATAATTTATATGAAAAATAATAAAAATAAATTTTAAAAAGACGTATAATATTAAAAACGACACGAAAATTTCATTTGTTGCTTTAAGATGTGGAGAGGTAAATATGTACTTTTGAAAATATTTTAAATTTTTAGTGTTAAGCATTTGTAATTAATAATTATTATTAATAAATAAAATAAATAAATTATTTTTAAATTTTTTATTTTCATTTCAATCTTAATAAATTTAAAACATATTTCCTATGAATCGGTAATGATTATATTTCATAAAGTATTAATCAGTACGCATACACCTTTTTTTCTTTATAAGTTACTTTACTTCACTACCTGATACTGCGTATCTACTGTACCAGGTACTTAAAAAAATGAAAAATAAATTTTGTTATTATCAAAACAAAAACCACAAAATTTTACCTAACTTAATATAATTTTATTTCAGTTCAGTGTTTTTGATACACTCGTTTGTTTACAATGTTTTGTTTCTTTCTTGCCTACACAACTCTGTTTTGTTTCTTTATTGCCTACACAACTCTTATTACCATCTATTTCTAAAAAAAAATGGAATATTTTAAGAATTTGGAAGCAAGATGCAAATGAAAACTAACGGAATGGAACGAGTCGAATTAGTAGATATACTTTGATTTAAATATTATTAAAGTTCAGAGAGTGGAACAGTGATAAATTTGAATACACACAAAGACAAGGCATTTATACATTTCCTATATTTTATAGAAAATACTTAATTTATTCTTATGTATAAAATCACCCATGTTAGCATGATATAAGCTTTAAAATTCCATTAAAAAAATTCCTGGACCGGGCAACTACATATATAATAAAAATTTTAAAAAATAATAATTAGATCGTTATTGACATTTCAACAAGAAGAGGAAGAAAAATGGTTATCAATTAATGTTTTTCTCGTATAATTAAAAAGTTTTTAATTAGAAATTCAAAATTTATAAAGTTTCTTAAAAAGTACTTTTTTGTTCCAGTTCAAAGAATATTTTGGTTCATTTTGTTGAAATGGTTTCAATTTCTCCATAACTATATTTACTTTAGGAAATTTATTCTTCATTGAAGTCCATTGTAACCCTCACACATACGTATACAAATTTTTATTTAAGTTTAACGAGTTCTTGCTTTTAAGTTCAAGGTTAATGGACTTTTTATTGAAACCGATTTATATTTTTGAGTTTCATTATTTTTTTAATGATTTTTTGTTCAGGTACACAAAAAGAGAAAGATATTTAATTTTTTGATAATGGCGCCTGAAGTGGGGTAGTTCAAGAAAAATATCAAGATGTATACTGTGTGTGTGTGTGGGTACTTTTAAAGTATTGAAATGTTGAAAATTTTTAATTTAGAAATTTTTAAGAGTAGCTATTAAATTTTAAAACAGAATTTATGTTATTTATATAGTTATAGAATTTAAAAAGTTAAAAGAAATCACTTGACTTACAGAAAATTATAAATGGCTAAATTAGATGTTGTTAGTCAGAAATTCGTGTTATATTTAGAAAATAAATTTATAGATAAAAAATATTTTTTTTATAGATTGAAAAATTTTTTTAAGAAAATCAAATAAGTACAAAATCTTGGAAATTTTGTTTCTCACGAAAATTATTTTGTAAATTTAAACAGTATTTGATTATTCTTTAACAATTATAGTGATTTTGACGTCTAAAATTTGAGCACGTCAAAAAATATTGACGTGTTCAACATTTTCATGAAAGTTAAATTCTTAACGTCATTTTCTCAAGAAGCTGAGAAAATTACGTTGGAAATTTGAGTAAATAAACAAATTTTTAACGACACAAACTCATTACTTTAGGAGAAACTTTACACGTCTTGTCTACAAGTTTAAAAATGAAGAGTAACTTGATTATTTAAAACAACAACTTTTATACGTAATAAAATAAAATTAAAAAGTTACACAGTGAAATTTATAAAGAGAAAACACCTTAATCTCAATTATACCTTAACCTTCATGCATATTAACTTCTCTTTAAATAATAACATTAATAAAGATTATCTTATTTGGGAACAGTTGAAGCGTTCTGTCATGTAAAACTATTTAATTTATTATCGTTAAGCAAAATAAACTCAAACCTATATTACAATTTTATATTGTATATAAACATGTCGAATGTATAAGATTATAAAAAAGAAAATGAGAAATTGTGTAATGTGAAAGGTATAGATAAATTGAAAAGGTTCATCAAAAATTTTTGTATAACTGAACTTT